CCCCCCGGGGGGAACCGCAGCGGGGCACGCCTCCGGTTTTCGGTTTTCTTTTGTGTGTGGTGGGGGCTTCGCTGTGGTGGGCGTGTGGTCCGTTTTTCTTTTATTCGAAGTGGTGGCGTTGGCGGTTTACGGGCATGCGCTGAACGAAGGGCTGTTTCAGATTTCCGTATGCTACTTTAACATCCTCTCTGTGGAATCCTGCCTGGCCAAAGAATAAAGAAATCTTTCTGGTGTTCGATGCTGTATTTTGGAGTGTGATTTGAAAGTTTTCTTAGAAGAGGGTATGCCTATAAGAAAAAAACATCTTTGGAATTTTTTTTTTTGATTCTCCTTCGCACTGAAATTTAACAAAAAAATCTATGCCCCTCTAAAATGAAGAAACACACAGTTTCTTCATATTTTCTGTTCAAAAAAGCAAACCACACAAAGTAAGATACCAAGAAATGACTGAATCCCAAGAGTCTTCAGAACGTGGGGACTACCAGGCGGATCACGCTGCGCTCGAACCCAGAAGATCTCTCTCTGCAGAAGGAAAGGTCTCTTTACCTCAAGAGGTATCAGACCAAAGCAACTGTAAGAGAGAAGTTGAACGTATTTGCAACTCCTCTGCGTTTGTTGCACGGGCTGTTGAGTCCCTATGTAAGCAGGAGGTTCTCTCTAAAGGCGTGGACATGATTGAAGTTCTGAATGACGTCGAGCGGGAGGAAGAGACTATGTTCTCACCAGTACCTGAATACCTCCAGAGAGAGTGGACGCAGCTAAAATCGGGGAACAACGAACTTAGGAAAGTTATTGAATCGAGGGTTGACACAGTGGCAACGTTTCAGAACGAACGTGAAGGACGCATTTCTTACAGTGCCGAATCAAGAATTGTTATTGACCCCGCTGTTCCTTTGACCATGCCATACAGCAAAGAACGCCACAATGTCTCTCACCCAGAGTGGAAGGAAATGCATAGTAGGTATCATGGATTGTTTTTTGACCAAGGAGAGCCTGTGGTGTTCACTCCTCCAGCGGAGAACAAACGTAAGCAAGTTCAAAAGTTGCGTGAGGAGGAGGCATATTGGAAAAAGAAGTTTCAACGTCCTGAGCGGCAATCTGAAGACCCACCCAAGAAGCTCAAGACAGTGCCAAGCGACTTTGTTCCATCATGTGCCATTGTTGATCATTCCTCTGCGCGAGAAAAGTTGCTCCTGAAGAAGCAGCTTGAAAAAAACAAAACTGGGAAAAAAACGGTGGTCCCCCAGACGGCTGAGGTAGCTTTGTATTAGGTTCCTTTGTATTTAGCTTCTGTTTCTCGCAGCCTCTTTTGATTAAACACAGGATCGTATTCATTGTTTTTTTTTTTCGATCTTTGAGGGATTTTTTTTGATTTAGTGAGATGTACAAATGAAAGTTCCTTCTGTAGTTCAAGATAACTAAAGTGGCTGGCGATTTGCAGTGAATCAAAATGAACTTTCATTCGTGATGCTATGCTGAACTTTCATGATTTACTTGCCAATTTCTTCAGCGTGAATAGGATGATCATTGTAGGCTCGGAGCATGAGTTTTTAGCATACCGTCTGCCCACATGCGAATGAAAATCTTCTTGCTTGTTTGGGCGAGGTTTGAATCAGCTATTATCGTTTCTCTTTCCTTTCGTTTGGTTGTCTTAGGTTATTGCATCAAACGTCAAGAGGAAGTGTAATTTCGTCGAAAAGAAAAGATAAAAATGTCGGGAGATCGTAAGGCTGTCATCAAGAATGCTGATATGCCCGAGGACATGCAGGCTGACGCCATTGAGGTTGCTCTTCAAGCCATGGAAAAGTTCAACATTGAGAAGGATATTGCAGCTTACATCAAGAAGGAGTTTGACAAAAAGTACCAGCCAACATGGCACTGCATCGTCGGCCGAAACTTTGGCAGCTACGTCACTCATGAAACGCACAGCTTCTTGTACTTTTACTTTGGACAGGTCGCCATTCTTCTTTTTAAATCAGGATAAAAAACCTTTTAGAAAGCTGACAATCTGTTGAATGAGAAATAGATGATGGATTGGCTGAGCACTTCTCTATGAAGCTACAACGCCCGCTCCTCCTTGAACTCATTTCTCTTGATTACTAAAAGAAAAAAAAAGAGGAAAAAAAGGGGGAAAATGAGGAGGGAGGGAGTCTTTATTTTAAACTTTACGGAAATAGATGTAGGGTTTGGCTGCAGGATTAAACGAAAAAAAATGTGCGTCTGCTAGGGTGTATGAATGGGAAAAAAAAAAAACGAAGAAGAATGGGAGATTGGAGGTTTGTAGTGAAAGGACGGTTACAGAAAGGCCATGGGATTCGACTTTGCTCTATTAGCCTTCATTCTGAAGGGCATTTCCCCTGTTTTTCATTGACGCGCAATTCTTTTTGTTGTGGACCTGATCCCCCGTGAAGGAAATGTATGTTGTTTCACTTGACAAAAAAATGCGGCGCTTGGTGTTTGATGATCAATCTACCTGTTTGCTACTGCAGCTTCAATTTAGTTTTTCACAGATCCTTCTTTCTCATTAAATTTGTGTCTTTTTCGCCAAGTTGCAAAGAACTCAATATATAAACACTGTGTTGCCACCATGTACAAATTTGGAGATGAGGTGGACGGACTGAAAGACGTGTACGACTTCGGCGGTGCAGGCCATAATGATGAGGCACCACCTAACAGAACAGACTCACCGGAAAGTCCAAGCCGCTTGGAAGACATAAAGGTCCATTCCGATGAAGGGGAAGAAGACCAAACTGCGGACAACCAGGTCGATTTTGGCGGGAGAGAATCGATCTTGGAGACCGCACCACATCCTTCGGTTTTTGGACCCGATTACCAACCCAATCTTGGCAATGGGGCTTCTTCCAATTTCTCATCTTCGGACGATGCTGCTAATAAAGACAAACGGAAAGGAGACCACAAAAAGTTCGTTGCAAAGGAGGTTCTAGGGCTGAACAAGAAAAGTACTAGTGGCATGACACCAGAGGAAAAAAAACAAGCCTTACTTGAAGAGCGATGGATGAAAGCTATGAGGGAAGAAAGACGTTTGAATGAACTAGAAGCTCAGGTGTCATACCGCATAGAGAGGACAACCGAGGCGAATTTGATTCCCAACTTTCCTCCCAGGTTTTTGTGTATTAAGCCTATTGTACACCATGACCTTGCAGTTGTTCCTGAAGTACGAAGAGGTTTTGTGCGACTCGCCTACATGAATTGGTTTGCTACCTGCATACTGCTAATCGTTAACATGTGTGTTGCTATTGGTGTGGTTTTTGCACCGTACCGAGAAGGTGCTGAAAAAAAGTTCAAGCCTGCGCAAAACACCGCTCTCGCAATTGTATATCTGATAGGTATCCCTCTGGGTTTTATTATGTGGTACTGGCAGGTCTATGGTGCCTGTTCAACAGGACGTCATACCAAACATTTGCTCAGTCTATGTGGTTTGATCGTGGCGTTCGCTTTTAGCGTCTTCATGTTTGCGGGCCCTATTGATTGCGGTGCGTGCGGAATTGCATTGGCATCAGATATATCGAAGACAAAGCCGAAGGGTGTTGTGGTACCTGTTGTCGTGGTGCTTGTTCTGTGGGCTGCCGAGGCTGGCTTTCTGTGCTACTGTATCGTTCGACAGTGGAAGTATTATCGTTTGGATGTCAACGCACAACAGGAGGCTCGACGTCACATGCAGAATATCATCGGTGTGTAAGGTTCTCCAGGCCACTAAGTGGATTATTATTATTATTTTCCGTTCGACCTTTGTCTGTGGGGTTCCAATGAGGCACCTGACCGTTACTACCCCATCATCCCAAGAAGGCGTTTACTGCTTGATATGCGTTTCTTTGAGGAAGTATGTGCCTCTTGTGCAGGTGTATGCTCCTCTTTGCTGCATTAAAAAAAAAAAAACTAAAAAAAAATAGCTGCTCTGTTGTATTTCTTGCTTTCTTTCTGTTAAGTGTGTTTTTTGAAGGTATCAGTTTCCACTGACACATATGAACAGGTGCGATCAGTCCGTAGAACGATTAAAATCGGTTCAATTATTGAGGAACGAACTGCTTTGCCGAAGCCGAGAGAGCGTGGAAGTACGGGCATTTGCGGTTGATCGATCTGTCGAAGAGCTTTCGGTGTCGTTTAAAAAGCTAAAGATGCTAATGAATGATGAATCTAAAGTGCGTGCAGAGCGTGACGGTGCGTTGTCCCTGCTCTGTGATGAGAAGCTCGGGGGCGTGAAAAAGTCACTTTCTGACCATTATTCACAGCAACTGGCTCGTTTATCCAGTGTGGTTAGAATGGTCGATCCCTTACTAGAAAAGGCATTCACCGATCTTTCCCAGAGCCGATTGCTACACGATACGAAGAACGAGGTTATCTGTAAGGAGGGTCTCCAACGTTTACAGGAGACGGCTGAAATGATAGAGGAAGAGTCAGTTAGACGTGAGTATGCGGAATCTAACTTCTTGGAAGAGGCGGGGAAGGAAATTATTATTCTTTCGAAGAAATTGGATTTGCTTCACTCTCGTAGAGCTTCGTCCATTGAACAGTGCCGTGCTGTAATAGCGGTATCTTTGAATAGGCCGTTAATGTCGGCCCTCAATTTGTCGCCTAAGAGGGAGATGATGAAAGAAGAGTTATTGATAGAAATAGTGCACGAGACCGAGCTTCTCGTGGAGGCATTGAGCCACGAGCACCGAACACGCGAGGGGAATCTTCAAGAAGCGATGTCGAAACTACACCAATTTTGAAAACCTTTCTCCCGCTAAGGTTCTGTTCCGCTTTTTTTTTGTCTTATAAAAAGAAGAGGCCTCGTTTACAGCGTGAATTGTTCTTGATAGATGAGGAGTGGAATTTTTTTGACAAGTTATCGAAAGACTTTCTTTGTAAATTATGTAGTGCTTTTTTCCCCGCCGGTGTTGACGCTATCGGACGTGAGTGATTGCGGCTCTTCTGTGTTTTTGTGACAACAGCTGGATTTGCTTTTTTTTTTGTTATTGGGATAATCACCAAGCTGGTGACGACACGGTTTGCAAATTGTAACGCTTGAAAAAACGATTCTCCGTGTTATATATATATAGACTGCATGCCGCACCCCTTTCTTTTTCGTGTTGATATTATTGCCGAAGGTGACAAAATCCTAAACAGAGGTATTGAAAAAAATAATGCCTATTCAACGTGCTAAAGGAGGACACCTCAACAACGGTGATGGTGAAGCTGGGATCGTGGAAAATACTAACAGTCGCGTGATCCGAGCTCTCCAGGCTTCAAAAAACAACAAGTTAGCTTCTATAAATCTGTTGCTTCAAGGTGTTGTGCGGTCAGCATGTACTGTTGTGAAGGGTACGGATTCCCAGCGAAGATTCAATGCGCAATTTTCTGAGTTCTGTCGTGCTGCACTTGTGGGGATTGCTGAATTGGAGGATGCTGTCTACGAGCTGGAGAAGACTGAGGGGCTCACAGGAAATGACGAAAACGGGGTGCAATGCATTGGAGTGGCAGACTTCGTGAAAGAGATGGCCACATTCATTGCCTCACAAACCAATGCTCTTGGTGTGCAATATTTGGAGCACGTTGGTATGTCTGCCTTGTCAACGGCGGCGAAGCCGCAGCAGAAGCCCACCGAGACCAAGCGGGGTGCGAAACGAGGTAGAGTAGAGGATACAAAGCAATGGGCTTCAGATCGCAGAAGTCCACAGCGCAAGCGGACGGGTACGTCACCACCGTTAGGCCCCAACTGGGAGCTCGACGCGCCACCACCATTGCATAATTCTGGGAGTTGCAGGGGCGGAAGAGGCGCTCATCATGGGGCTGCAAAACTGACCAGTATTCCAACACTCTCAACGTGGCTGCAACCGTGGACCCTCCCACTGCCAAACGCCCACGGCATTGTACTTGATCGCGTCACAACAGAACGCCCCAAGCAATCTAGTGGGACTGCCGAAGAGCCCACAAGACTCCACGATGAGGTGTCAGTGTTTGACATATGCACGGCACCGACACCTGCAGAGGTGCTTCGCCTTTGGGAGGCCCGTGAGAGCTTGCTTTCACCCGGGGTGGATAGGGGGAGTAGCCTGGGTGCCGTGGCTTGTGCCACAGTTCCGCCTCATGCCAAGGAAGAAGGTAAACCAATGTTCTTTCCAAAGAGCGATTTAGGGCTGCGGGCATCTGTGCCAACACACGTATTGGTGGATTTGGTGCACTGCGGCATTTCGTCGCTTGAAATGCCGTTTAAGGATATGGTGTAAAACCAACGTAGAATGAGGGAGGCGAAAGGTGGAAAAAAGTGATATGATGATGAAAGATCCTACCGTAACACAAATGTGTCGCTACCCACCCCGTTTCTTTTACAATCCAATGCGTGCTCAAGCACAAGAAGAAGGCATTAGGTGTGTGGGTGTGTGGATGTTGCTGGGGCGGGCTCAGAGTCATGGAAAGTACCGCATACAAACTGTTGCGCCTTGTGGAAGCTTATGCGACCCACCCTAGTCACTCTGTGGGGAAGTTCATTGAATTGCCCCTCCGGAGAGGGAGTTTCACCACGGCATTTGATGCGAATCAGCTTCTTGAATACGTTTCCTGTACTGCCAGTGATGAAATGGAGCTACTTTGTGATGTGTTGCGTGTATGCACCCAGATACATGAAAGATCGGTTGGGAGCGTGTGCCGTGTCAACTTTATCACATACGTGGTACTACACGCCTACTACGCCTTGGCGAGGGAGGCGACAGCACGTGAGAAAAACAATAGAAACGCAGACCACCTCGTCCACGTAGAGGTAGAACAAAGCCTTTCATACCCTTGTGGTGAAGCGACCGAAGAGAAATGCGACACAAGGTGTTGCTTGAACATTATGAAGAGTTTTGTACGGGAGTTGCGTCTCAAAGGACACCCCGTGGACCCCGCTGAGGTGTTGGCCGAGGTGTCAGCCTCTACTGCCATGGAGGAAGTGGACGATATCAAACGTGACAACAACGCTTTCCATCTCTCACACCAGGTATTGCACGAGTACCTCCAAAGGACATTTGCCTATGACCATTTGTCGTGGGGCTACAATGCAGGGAAGCTTGCAGTGGATTGTTTTTTGTATATTTACCCACTTCTCGTTGCTTCCACTGCTGCTGAGGAAATGGGTACAATTGCAGGGTGCAGAAGAACGTCTTCTCTCCACACGCTCACAGAACAATTGCTGTGCAAGATGCCAGGCAGTAATGATGAATGGTTCAGCACCAGGGGAGGCCAAGGATGTATGGTTCCAGGAGTCGCTCTCATGACCACTATACGTCTGGGGAGGCGCACTGGTGTATTGTCAGGAGCGTGTGTTCTCGCCCCTTTAACTGCTGTTGAAGGGCTTCTGCAAAGAGAGAGTTATTATATTAACCTGCTGTTTTTGTTCTCCGATTTTCCTGAGAGAGTAACAGAGGAGGAAGGCTCTGGTTTTCATCAACTTGTCGTCTTGGTGGAGGGTGTGAGTGAAGGTCTGGTGGTCATCGTGGTGAGGAGTCACGTAAGTGAGGAGGTGCTTCGCTTCGTGGAGACATTGGGGAACAATAAACGAACCATCTTGCTGGTGGCTGCGGTTGGTCAAACAACAATGACGCGCTTGTCATTGACCTTTCGAGTACTGCCACGAGCACTGGAGAAACTCCACCTGGTTCCAGTCCGTGGTACGTTACGAATGAAGTCACTTCGAACACATGATGCTGGCAGGTGCCGTGACGGGGTGGAGCTGCGGTCATTCCTGGTAGCGCTTGAACCCTTGCATGGCGAAACGAAGACTAAAAAGACGGGAATTATGCAAAGCATTGCCAGTGTTGTATTTGGTGGTCGTTGCGCTCATGAAAGTGTACTTGTAGAACGACTGTTTAATCTTCAGTTGCACCATTTGGTAAATGTGTTTTGCTTGCCAACGCCTAATAACGCTATGATGCCAGCAGGTGGTATGGCAGAGGCTTATGCAGTGAGTTTTTTGAACCATCAAATTAGTGAAACATCAAGTGTAGATGGTTTTTCTTCGCGTGATTTCGAAACGCGTCTAATGGAGGTGTTGAGGAATGCTATTGTTGCCTACATGGAGAGTGTTCTCCTAAAGTCCGGCGGTCTCACTGTGGAGGAAGCTGAGGATCACCTGGCGACTTCTCAACAGCGCTTTGGTATGGTGCAGTGGGGGGCGGGAAGCCGAAGTTCACGTAGTGGTGACAATGGCGCTACGGCGCCAGAAGGGCAGTCACACAGAAACATAATGTACAACAACGCAGTTCCTGTTCCACCTCTAATAAACATTTCCGAAATAATGTGGGCTGCAAATCGTGGTGCAAAGTCTACACTCCTTTTGGCGGATGTGAAGGAGTGGGAGGCGCAGATGGAGGTTGCCAGCGCCTATCTCTGTATTGGGAGATGCCTGGACAGGCTTTGCTTTACAAGCGTTCTGGGAAAACGTGCGGCAGCGATTGGCTCGGAGGGAGGCGGGGCAGCTGACGAGTTATTCTTCTTCCCTGACATTACTTAATTCCACTTACTAAGTTCTGTTTGGCTGAGGCGAGTCTTGTGCGATTGTGACGTGGTATGTTTTCTTGATGTGTCTTTTTGTGTGCACTCCTTCTTTTGTGCTTTAGCTGCAGTACGTGATAGGTGAGGAGGGGGCGTAGACCAGTTGCATGGTTAGTGAGACGAGATCATCGCCACTTCTGTCTCGAGTTTCTTGCTTCGGTGGCGGTGACCCCCTCGGGGAAGCCCCGGAGCGCCTTGTGGAGGCTTGTGGCAAACCCCCGAGTTCGCCGCTCCCTGAAGACGAGCCCACTTTCAGCCCTTCCTCGCCGTTCAAAAAACTCAAAGACTCAGTTGGATGTCTCCCGGATGGGAGAGGTTCCACGAAGGTGGTGGATGTGCCTCCTTTAGTTAGTTTCACGGAGGAACCACTGGGAAAAATAGTGATGACTGAGAGCCCACCCCATTCTGTTGGAAACGCGGCTGAGAGAAGTCCTCAGCTTCTTCTGGATGCGAAGGATGCGAGTGAAAGCTCAAATTGCTCTCCCCAAACAAAGGCGTGCGTGGTGGAGCGACACGAGGTTACAGGTGACGCTGGTGATAACACGGGAGCAAAAGATAAGGTGGGGACTGTGAATGCTAATGTCAATGATGCTGCTGCCGCTGCTGATGCCCTCGGTGTGGGTTCCGCCGCTGATGCTCATGCAGATGACAGGGAGGGTGTCCTAACGCCAATGGCGCATCCGGAGCAGGCGGTGACGTGCGATGGCATCGTCCCCACCGGCGATGCGGAGGAAGTGAGTAAAACTAAACCCAAACCTGTGGAACCGCTGGAGCCGATGGGCGTAAAGGTGCTTGCTACCCATGTGGTTATGCGCCCAACGATGCCGGCAACGGGTTGCTCCCCGGCACGTCGACCGCTCAGCGCTAGTGCGACCAGACCGCTTAGGCCGGTGCCGCCTCGGGAGAATGTGCGCTCTAGTTCTCTTGCAGTGGCCGATTCAGGTGCGCCGCTTGCGTTACGCCCAATGCCGCCTGCAAAACGTAGACCAGTTTGCCGCCCTGATGCCACCACCGCGTTAAAGATGAGCGGTGAAAATAGTGCCAATGAGTCTTTGCTCAGTGACGGCGTCGGCGAGTCTCCCAAAGGCGGGACAACTGCTACTGCCGTAGTGGGTTCCTCGTCTTTTTCCTCAACGCCAAATATTCAACGGGCCCGGAGTGTTTCTGGTGTAAATGCTAAATGTGGGCGTCGTCGCCGTTCAACACGATTACCTAGTTCTAGTTCTTGCTCATCCTGCAGGGATACAGGTGAAAATAACCCGTCGCGAAGCAGCAGTTTTGATTGTAGTAGCAAAAGCGCTTATAAAAGTGGTAGCTTTAGTGGACCTAGTAGTCTGACTATTACAAGCAGTGAGAGCAGGAATACAAGTGTAAGCGACAGTAGCAGCAGCTTGGGCTCCGGGAAGGGAACACCAGAGGCTATTCCATTGAAACCCGGGTGCGTTGAACCGCCACCGTTTGCAGCGTTTGCCGATCTTCACTGTAGATTTAACCTGAGGTCTCATCTAGACCTGTACGCTGAACCGGCTGTTGTTCATGAGTGGAACACCTCGGTTGGCAGGTGGATTGCCGTGCAGACTTCAGTCGTCATTTTCCCAACTCCCTTCGCTTATGGGAATATGCGAGCGTCCTACTATGTAATAGACCTGAATCGACTAAATTGCATGATGGTTGCGAAAAGGTATCTGCGCTCCTCTATTAAACAGTCACAGTACTTTGATGATGTTTCAATGCACACAATTGCCAACCATTGGGCAAGAAGGTTTAATTGCTGCATGCCGCCTAAATCAGTGCATTTTGTCCCAGCTGCTGTCTTGGAGCTAACGGATCGTCATCCACCCATGTTCTTTGCGGCAGAGCCAAAGCTGGAGGGAAATTTCATCAAATACAACAATAACAATGGTTACGTGACGAAGGAATCACGGTGGACGCCCCAGGCGTTTTCCCATTTCACATACCACGCCAGCGATAAGAAGCTGATGATTGTGGACATTCAGGGTGTGAATGACATTTACACTGATCCGCAGATCCTGACACTTGACGGCAAAGGTTACGGCCGCGGCAATCTTGGTAAGAAGGGAATGCGCCTCTTCCTACGTTCCCACGTATGCAACGATGTCTGCCGCACAGTGGGGCTTCCACGAATAAGCCACGGAAGAGTTCGCGGAGACGAGCTGTTGGGGATATCATCGTCCCCTGTGTTTCCTCCAGCGCTGTACTGCCCCGCGGCGCCAGAGATCCTGCCACCACGCTCAAATGGCCCGCGGGCGACGACCCCTTCTGTCGTGTCTTCTGCACAGCTCGGCGGTAGTGGGGCGAGCTCAGCAGCGTGCAACCTGGCTTCGCCACCTGCGCGGGCGGAGACTCGCGGGGGCACTGGCTTGCTGCAGCGCATGCGTGTATACGTTTCTCGGCGCATTTTTCGCAGAAAGTCCCATAACCGAAAAATAACCGAAGATAGCGGTAGTCTCAGGGACAGTTCAAACAAACATTTGAGCCAAAATACTACTAGCGGTGAGCAATCCACACCCGCTTTGTCGAGTTTTTCTTGTTCATGCCCTCGCCGACCTTGAGCTGGCACGGGGAGACGGCTCTGTCAGTGTTCTCGGTGAAGACGTTTCGGCGACTGGGAGATTTACTGGTGTGGTGGGTAGGAGTGGCNGGGGGGGGGGGGTGAAGTCTGGCGGTGCAATGTGAGGAGGCCGTGGTATGGTGTATGCAGGACAGCTTACACATCTGTTCCTGTATCAAAAAAGGAGAGTTGTTGCATTCCGAATGAAACATACACGTCAGAGGAGAGCCATTTTCGACAAATAAATGCTTTTTGTTTCTCTGTTGTTGTTATTGTGCTTTGTTTTGCTTTCTTATTTGAATATCATGTTACTCATTCCCGGCGAGGTGTCGAAGCAGCGATAACTGCCTCCCCCCCTGTGGGGTGATAAAGGCTTCGATGCGGCGTGCACCACCTGCGGTGGGCGACAACAACAATGTAGGAAGGGTGTGAAGAATGGCACGTGTCTTTTGATGGTCGCCCTGCGCCTCCCACCCTAAGACACCGCCACTCGTGCGCACTTTTCTAATTATGGTGTCGTGACGCGTTCTGCCTTGCAGTGAATTAGAGCACCGATGATACGATGCTCCCGGGACCCTATCCCTTTTTACAATTCTCGCCCTCGATTCCTTTATATATATATATATATATATATATATATTATTGATGTGTGTATATGTGTAGGCATAGTCGAAGATGGTTCACTCCTACGGTTACAAGTGTGGCACGCGCCACCTCTTCGCGAAGAAGTTCCGCAAGCACGGCGTGCCGTCGGTGAGCACCATCTTGACCAACTTCAAGGTCGGTGACTACGTCGACGTCGTGGCAGATTCCGCCGTGCGGGCGGGCATGCCGCACAAGTACTACCACGGCCGCACTGGCATCGTGTGGAACGTCACGCCGCGTGGCGTTGGCGTGATCGTCAACAAGCCGGTCCGCAACCGCACCATCCGCAAGCGCATCTGCGTGCGCTTTGAGCACGTGCGCAAGTCGCGCTGCCAGGAGGCGTTCAAGCAGAAGCAGAAGGACTTTGTTGCCTTCCAGGCGGCCAAGAAGACAGGGAAGCCGCTGCCACCACCGAAGAAGAGCTCCCGCAACGGTGGCATCGTGCGCCCGAAGAACGTGGAGGTGCTGGCCCGCCGCGTCGCCGACTACGAGGCGATGATCCCGTACTAGACCATCTGGCGCCAAGAACTCCTTGCGTATCATTTTTTCTTTTGAATTCCTCTTACCGTCCCCTGTCCATAAGTGATGCTGTATTCGAACCTGAGCTTTGCTACTGCAGTGCATCTGTTATAGTTCATTTCCTCTTTTCTGTATTCACTGCATTAATAACCAAATAAGGAAGTTGACTGGCGATGCACCCTAAAGTAGCGTGCGTGCTTTTCACATGCTCTGTACCGCCGTGAGCCTCACAAGACCGAGCGAAATTCAGTTGCTGACAAACAGGGGAGCCACATAGATCGAAACGATTGTTCGGCGCGAGTACGCTGTTCCAGCTGGTGTGAGTACCATTGGCTGAAGCATGGGTAATATATTCTTCACCTTGATTCCTTGAACGATGACTGTATGTGTGAAACTTGTGGTCTCCGTGTTGCATGACGTGATACACACCATATGTGTCTCTGGAGTTCTCTGTCCTTCCTTTACATGTGGCTCTCTTCAGGCATTATGGTGCGCTTGTCTTTGCATACATATGCTTGTGTCTCTGTGTGCATGTATGCTTTCTCTGTTTGGGGGAATTTGTGTACATGTCTAGACACCGTCTACCCTTTGTTGCTCGCCCCCTGTTGCTGCACTCCGTCCAAGGACTGTCGGGTTGAGACAGTAGCAAAGAAAGCGAAGATAACGTTGTAAATGAGTATTCCAACTTCCATCCACGCGGCGCGAGAGCTGATTCGTATCAAGACTAGCGGCAACGAGTTTGTGGGGCTCGTTCACGCGGCAACCAATGAAGACCCCTGGGGCCCAACAGGGACGCAGATGGATGACGTCTGTCGTGCGTTTCCACGCGGGTCAGTTGACATCATGGAGGAGATCAAACTGCGCCTGAAGAACCGGGAGAAGTCGTGGCGTTCCTGTTACAAGTCTTTGCTTCTGCTCGATCACCTCGCACGTAATGTCTCAGAGTCAGGGTTGCCAGCAATATGTTCTGTAGCTCCTACTATTCGCCTCATATCGCAGACCTTCTACTACACGGGAAGCAAAGGAACGGACCACGGTTTGTCTGTGCGGGAGCGCGCCAAGAAGCTGTGCGACCTCCTTTGCGACGGTGCGTTGCTGCGTGAGGAGCGTGAAAAGGCGTCCCTCACACGCAGCAAACTCTCTGGCGTATCTGGCGGTGGTGGCGCGTATTCATCGTCGCGGTACCAAGGCTACTCAAGCAGTTACCCGCCGCCACCACCACCTGCTGCCACGTACGACCGTCAGACACAGCCAGCTCGCTCGAAAGAGGAGCAGGAGAGATACGACATGGAGCTTGCTGCTAGAATGCAGCGCGAAGAGGAAAGCCGTGCTGGTATGACGGCCCTGGAGGCAGAGCGCATGTTTAACCAGCAAGTGCAGCGTCCACCTAGTACAGTGTCACAGGTAGCCCGCAATGCCGACTTGGAGTTGGCACGGCGCCTTGAAGAGGAAGAAGAGCAGCGTCGTGCGCTCCGTGGCAAGGGGGCGCCGCCCGTCACGCAGAGCGGGACTGCAGCGGGGCAAGCGAGTCCTCCAGTTTCAAAGGCTATGGTGCCCCTTCCCAAGGTAGAGCCGCCCAAGTCCGATGCCCTTGATGACTTGTTTGCGCCGACCCCTGTGGCTCCTAACAGTAACAGCGTTCAACAACCTAACTGGATGACCAGCGCGCCGGCCCCGCAAGTATCAGCCCCTGTGGATCCTTTTGACGCATTCTTGGACACACGCATTCAACAACAACAACAACAGCAGCAGCAGCAGCAGCAGCTGCAGCAATATCAACAACCACAAGAAATACCGTACGGAGGTTTGCAGTCAGCACCGGTGCCTCAACAGACCAATTTCGGCATGGCTTCAGGTGACATGTGGTACACTGCGCCGCAAGCACAGGTGCAAATGCCACCACAAGGACAACTTGGTGGGTGGTCTACTGGAGTTCCAATGCAACCGCCATATAGCGGTGCATCGCCACAATCTCACTGGGGAACGCTACCAACGACAGACAATTCTTCTTCCACTGGGGCATATCAGGTGCCGCCAGTTGCTGGGGGAAACACCTTTCAAGGGAATTTACTTACCAATAATGCGGCTGGTGCGCCGAACAGTGGAATCCTGATGGAGCAGCAGATGGCTCAGTTTGCCGGACAGCTTGGTGGCCAGACGCAGTGCTCGACGAAGTCATTGGATGCTTTAATGGCTGAGCGCCGGAAGGGCCAGTAGCACGCGCCAAACCCCGGCGGCGTATTGAAGGGAGGCCCCGCGAGTGAAATTTTTTTGGGGGACGTCTGTCTGTGTTTCGAAAGTAGGGATCCAATACGAGTGGGCTGTGAGAATAAGCTCTCTTTTGCATTGTCTAGATGGGTATGAGGCGCTGAGGTGATGAATGTTTTGCTTCTTCTCTTTTCCGCTACGAGTCTTCCTTTGCATGGGAGTGACATTTTTTTTTGCTTTCTCTGAGGTTGTGTTCCTTCTCCTTTCTCCCCTCAACCAACATATATATATATATATATATATTTATTTATATAGGATAGGAAAAAAGTAGCAGGAAAGGTCGATGCTTCGGCGAACCGCTGTCGTGCGTGGCCACGCCACTTCAAATCTTTTTGCGCCACCGTTTTCCGGCCGCTGGTTCAACCCCCCGCACCAGTGGACCATGACAGACACTTTTTTGCCATTCTTCTTTATTTGCTCTGCCCCAATGGGGATAGCTGTTTACCTCTATCATGCTGCATACATGCCACACTATTCGCACTTTCAGGACCAAAACTACTATGCATCGCAGGTGTATACCAAGGAGTTTATTCATAAGTATAATCGGCTGGAGCGTTGGAGGTGGTACTAGGGGATTGTGGGGTGCTTATAGCTTGGTTATATCAAGCTGCTGCAGTGTTTCACAGGGGATGGGTAAACGGGCATTTTGGGATGCGCGGGTTGTGGGCTAGCAATGTTGAAGTGATGGCTGTAGAAGGTGGAATAGTATGATATGTGTAGCCAGTGTTGCGTGCGTTCTCTTAAAATGCATGACAGTTTTTGCCTCCGTAAAAAAAGGAAAAAATGGAAAAGAATGCCTTTGTTTATTTTTATTTTTTTTCGGTTTCGGAGCCTTTGGCTTCGGCACCGTACGCACGCATCTTTAATGTACAGCTTATGTCTTGGATGCGTACTCTCTTTTGTCTCCTCCTTGCAGTGCCTTTCCTTTCTAGTTCTTCGCTGTATGCCGCGCGTGGCTGCTGGCAACATTGAGGTGTGATGAGCTTGCAATGCGAGGGCCAAGGCGCCGTGTGCTCCGCGTGTGGCCATTTTGACTTCTTGCCATTGACATGCATTCGTTGCCAGGGCAAATTCTGCGGCGAGCACATTAACGCTCACAATGCTGCCGGAACACAAAAGTCGTGTGTAGCCTCTGGTGCAAGCAACACAGCGGCGGATGCGCCGTCACCGACGACGGTGGGGACGCAGAGGCCGAGGTGCAGCTGTGTGCTCTGTGGAAGTCTCATGTGTGTACTCACTCCGTGCCCGATATGCCGCCGGGACTATTGTGCCGCTCACCGCTTCCACGTGCATGAGGATGGAGAGGGAGAAGAGGGGGAGCAGAAAGGCACGCGGCGCAGAGGTACGAAGGGATTTTTCAAGCAGACCAGAGACGTTGAAATAAAGAATTTTTCACTGTTGTGCGCACAGTACACGTCGAGCAATGCATTGCGCCTGGCGCCACCGTCGTACCGTGGTAGCATGATACCTGTCACGGCTTTGGTGTGGCGGGAGGAACCAGACGCCGACCGCGGGGATGAGCTCTGTTCTTTTGGCGTTGTTTCGCTTGAGATTGCGCTGGAGATGTCGATTGGGCAGCTGTTGGAGCGTTTGCGGGCTGCACACCCGTTGCTGCTGTCCAGTCCGTTGGCCCAACCACTGTTCCATATCGAGGGCATGGATCGTGTTGTGCTGCGTCCCATCCCTCTCTCTTTGACTGTCAGAGAGGCCACACTGTCTAACCGCGTTGTGGTATTCCTTGTTCCCAATCAACAGACAACACAGGAAACACCGGCATTCCAGAATTCCTCGTGTGAAAATCGTTTGTTTTCTGTGGACGCCGTCCAATCGATGCTGACTCAACGTCTATTCTCGTCTTTGGGCAAAAGGGAAGATACGCGCCTGCATGCTGCTGCCGTGCATGTGCGACTTCAGTCCAGACAAACTGAGACAGCAAGTGAACAAAGCACTGTCCGTACACCAGACTGTCTGTTGCTTGAGCGTTTGTTCGCTACAGACTGTGTGGAGGTAGCCACGGGCGTGACGGCCACAACGCCGCCGCCGCCGCCGCCGCCGCAGCAGCAGCAGGAGGAGGAGGGTGAGGAAGATAAGAAAAGTACAGATGGCGCCCCATGGCCCTTTCAGCGGCCGCCACCGCTTGAAGGCTTTACTTTCTCCCACACGAGGATGAAACCTCTCATCGCTGGGGAACAACGCGGACAGAGCGTTGCCGTCGTGGTCGTCGCGGTGTTCGTGGCGGACCGCCTTTTGTCGTCTGCCGTCCCGCCATTTTGCATTGCATTGTCAAGAAGTTGGTCGATGGGACGCGCTATGGACCGCATTGTCCAGGTGGTCGGCGAGGCCTCGGCCTCGACAAAACGAGCGAAATGGCGCTTGTTTGACATGAGGACCCAAGAGTGCCTCTCTGATGGAACTTTGACGCGAACGAACACCTTGAACGACGGAGATGTCCTTTTTCTGGGTGAGCAGTTCCCTGAGGTGCTCCATAAGGAGGTTGCGCGGTTGCAGCAGCTGCAGGGCAAGGCGGCTGCGGCGCTAAAAATGAAGATGATGAAGACCTGTGCCATGATGTGATAGGTGGGAATTTTGTTGCTGTAGGTATGTGCAACCAGTCTGTCTCCTTTTCTTTTGTCCCGGTGGTTCTGCTGCCATGTGCGCCTGTGCCTCTCTGTGCGCTTCGGGCCCCACAACGTGGCATGATCTCCCTTCGCTCCGCTTTTATCTCCTGCTTACTGTGAAGCCATGTCGGGGCCGATCGTAGACGCAGAGGCCGCCCTCGCGCGCTGCGTGGAGGCGATGCGCGAGACGTTGCTGTCGGCTCTCGGAGACGCTCTGCCGCAGTCAACCGAGACGCCGGAGGCAACGGGCTTGGGCGAGGGGCTCGTCGACACAGTGGCACAGCGGCTTGAGTGGGAGTCTGACGTGGAGCAGCAGCGCATCGCACGACTCGTCGACGGGCTCGATCAGCACTTCGCGGCACTGGAGCGCTCTGTGCTGGGGCTGCCAGATGCCCAGGTGGAAGCGCTGGACCGCGACATCGCGTGGCTTGGCGCCGAGGCGTCGTCGTTAGCACAGGCGCTAGTAGGCGTCTACGACGAAGCGGAGGCCCTCGCCGCGCGGCTCGAGCGCGAGGTCGCGACGCAGCAGGTGCCGTTCATCTGACGCATGGGTCCCACGGACCGCTTGTCTGTTAAAGAGGAAAGAGGGAGAGGAAGTGGCGATAATGCGGAACAGGGAGAACGAGGTATGCATGCAAGAATTGAATAGCACGCACTGGAGTTGACACTGTGGGGTGCCTGACATACATGCAAACACCCACGAACACCGAGACACACACGTATTCTGTGACTGTCGCTTTGTTATTCCTTGCTGCTCTTTCTTGGCGCGCAGGTTAGCTGGTGAGATGCGGGTCGGCGCGCTGCTGCTGCGCGGCAAGCTAGATATCGAACCATGGATGGGCGTCAGCTGCTACCCTGTGTCGCCTAGTTTCATTGGTGGCATGCCAGCCGTGAAGCCGGCGTATGACCACTACAAAATGATGCGGCCGCAACGGCCGATGAGGGCGATTGGCGTAACTGGCTCGCTGCCGCCGGTGCTGTACAACCGTATGGACCAGATTGTGCAGATAGAGAACGCCATTGCGCTGCAGCGAGTGGAGCGGCAAGTAGAAATGACGCTCTCCCAGCTCTCCCTGGGCATCCGGAACGCCGAAGATTTTCTGGCGAAGCATTTGCTCGGCACAGAGGTGCGCCCGTCGATTCACACGCTGTGGTTTCACGAAGGAGGTCTTCGGCAGCACCAGCACATTTTGTCAACGCTCTGCGCACACCACTTGGTTCCGCTCTTCAGCCTTCTGGCGTACGATGTGGAGCGGGGCAAGATGTCGCTCTACGAGGCAGAGGAGTTATATGAGGAGCTGATGGACTGCTCGGTTGCGCAGCCAAAAATTGTGCAGCGGGAGTTGNCCAACCAGATGGTGCGAAGCTATTGTCTCCACGATGAGTATGATAAAGCTATCAACGTGGTGACGGAGATGAAGGCGAGGAAAATCCGCCGAACATTTGTTACATATGCCCCACTCTTCCGAATGATTCGTGCAAAGGAGGACGCCAAACAACAGCTACAACTCTTGCGGTTCATGTACGACGTGGAAGGTGGGCGTCTACCAAAATTCCTATTCATTGATGTTCCGCGCATGTTCTACATGTTCGGTGTTTTCATTAGGTACAACTGGGTGCTGATCAACTGCAGTTTCACCGCTCTTTGTACTATTGTGCTGCTCTATGTGATGAATTTTGGACTCTGATGCCGTTGAGGATATGGTAACGCAATTTAGTCACCACCTTTTATTTCTGTCGTGCAAGTGTATTGTATCGTGTCTCTGCATGCTGTTGCTCTTCCTTGGTATGAAGGTATATTCATATAGGACATTTTTTTTTTGTTTCCCGCTTGTGCCTGTGTCGTCACTCTGGCACTCTGCATCTATTCTCCCTTTCTTTGGGGGTTCTTTGTGTGGTTGTTGCTCTTGTTCGATACAGAGTATAGGAGGGAAGGGTTCCCACACATTTAGTTGCTGCTGAGGTTTAGAACCATGTCGACCAAATCCTCATTGCACAGCTTTCGCACACACAGCTCGTCTGCTGGTGAGACATACACGTCGGGGCATAGCGTGGTGTCCAGCCGTCATCGTCGCCAACAACAGCGGACCGAGCCGCCTCTGCCGCCGGCGAAGATGACGCCCTTCGAGCGCCTGCAGTTGGTTCGCAACGCTATCACACGACTTCGGTACGTCGGGGAGCGGCAGGGACACACCGCACAGCTTGACACTGCCGGTAGTGAAGAGGTGCTTCACTTCTTCGACAAGTTGCGTGAACGACTACCAAAGCTTGAGTACAATCCGAGAAAGCTCGGGAGCCCGGACACGAGCGGGCCAAAGCAGCTGCACTACATCAGCGAACAGGTGCGCAGCCTGTACGATGCAGCGGCGGAGCTGCTGAAGGGCTGCGAGGAGCAGATTGGCCAGTGTGATGCCGTGTACGAGGGCCTGAACTACCACCACCTGCAGGAGGTTCAGCGTGAGTTGGAGGAGCTCCAGCACCTGCTGAGCCACACCCCATCTGAAATGGCGAGCCGCGTCAACACTGACCTTCTTTCGGACTTGGTGTCACTGCATACCATGGATTTTGACGCATTTGCGGAGCAGCGCGTGGAGGCGTTTGTGCGTGAGACGCAGAACGAGGGTGCCGTTTTCAGCGCTGTCGTCAACGAGCTTGCGCAGCGCACGCCCAAACCTGTCGGTCTCGTGTCGACGCTTATTCTGGACGTGGCTGTCGGCGTGCGACCTGGCCGCTGCGCGCGGATGGTCATTGAGCACGCACAGCAAAACCTCACGAAGCTCGAGAACCGCTTGCACACGGCGGACAAACCGCTCTACGCGGCGGGTGCGGTGGAGGGTGCACAGGCGGAGCTGCAGCGCCGCGAGCTGACGATACTGAAGGACCGCGTCAGGAGTGCCCTCGCAGACCTGGTGCACCTCAAGAAGCGGTGGGAGGAGGAGGAGTCCAGCACGCTTGAGCGCGCCGTCTCTGGGCAACACGTCCTAGCCACGCTGGTGGAGATGAAGCGGCTAAAAGAGGCAGAGGTGATTGAGGAAGCGCAGAGCATCCACGACCGCGCGGTGCACTCGTGTCTGCCGTTCGCCACACCGCAATACTACCGGCGTTATGGAGAGACATACGCTCAGCCATGCCACGTGCGTCTTGGGTTCAAGTTCCTTGCAGAAGAGCAGGCGGATGCTCCAGCAAAGGCACTGATGCTCTACACGCTCATGCCGGAGTTCTTTGCATTGATGCGACAGCATAACATTCCAGTGACGGAGCACGAGCGCTACGCCGCACTGGTGCCGAGCAAGGAACAGGTGTGGGTCGCCTTCTCCGACTTCCCAGAGATGGTGCAGGGCGCCCGCTGCGCCCTTCGCGGCGTCGACGCTCGCCAGGACCATTTTCGCGCGCTGGAGGAGCAAAAGGAAGTAGGTGGGTATTTCATTATGCGCGGCGGGGAGCGCATTCTTCGTGCTCTCCTCATGCAGCGATGCAATGTCCCGATCAACATCTACCGCGAGCGGTTTGCGACACAAGGCCCATTCTTCTCCCCCAAGGCTGTTGTTATTCGCTGCAAGCGTCCAAGTGGCTTGACCATTCAGAACTATTTTTATTATGCAACCACCGGTGAGGTCATGTTCAGCTTTGCACGGAAGGTCGTCTGGCACATCCCCGTCCCTCTCTTGCTGTTCGCCTTGAATGCCCGAAACTGCTCGTCATTGGAGATGTACAAGCTGCTGACGTTAGGCTTCACCAACGGCAGTGAATCGCACGCGGCACGTGTTGAGGCACTGTTGCAGCACCACCATCAGAAGCCCTACGGCTCTCTTGTCCATTTCCTTGATTACATTGTGGTGTTGGGCCGCATGTACCGGAATTACCACCAGACATCGAACACGTTCCACTTTTTGCCGCAGTTTCACTCCAGCTGCCAGGGCCAACACGATGCTTGGTATGGTCTTTTTATGCTGCGACGCCATGTACTGCCGCATCTAAACGTTGACACGCCAACGCCAGATTTGTCACCATCCGCCACCACAGAAGACTGCACCAAGTGGCTTACCCAGGAGCTTCTCCAAGAACTTGAAAACAAGCTCGATGTAATGATCGCCATTGTGCGGCAACTTTACGCCTTCGTTGACGGACAAACAGAGCACCAAGGCAATGATGTGCCTGCCTACCAAGAAATATTCACCGTTTCACAAGTTCTCATGGGTGGCTTTGAGGTCTGTTTGAATAAATACATGAAGGGCTTCGCCTACCGCATGGGAAGCCACATTCCAGCTCACCTTTTTCACTCCATCATGAAAATAACCGAAATGTCAGCCAAAGAGTCCAGTGAAGTCGTCAGCCAGGTGCGGCAGTATGCGGAGTACAGCGAACGACGGAGTTTAAGCGACCCTCTGGATGCGCTGCACCGTTTGCTCATCACAGGCAATCTTACTCTAGACCGTGAGGAGGACTTCTACTGTCCTCAAACCTCCGGCTGGGTGGTGATGGCCGAGCACTTGAACTTCTACCGCTTTTTTGAGCAGTTACGGTGCCTCCACCGTGGTAAGACCATTGCGGAGATGCGGTCTAGCGAAGTGCGCAGGTATCCTTGCGAAGCCTACGGTTTTATCTGCATGGTTCACAGCCCTGACGGAGAAGACTGTGGCGTATTAAACCATTTGAGCGTAAGCACAATAATGTCCGATTCGCTTCCATCCGGGTCTCGGGAGGAAGCAGAGCTACTGTCGTGGATCAAGGAGGAAATTCAGGGTCTACGCAATAATGCCTCATTCGCCTCTCTTGTGGACCAGTTGGTGGGCACTGTCCCTGTCTGGCTTGAGGGGAAACTGCTGGGGTACCTTTCGCCGAGTGAAGCCCAACGTGCAGGCGACGCACTGCTCCAGAAGAAGGCACTAGTGAACCGTAAAGCTTTTGAGGCGAATGGTCTCGTACGACGCCACAACGTGAGTATCTTTAACACCATTGAGGTTGTCAATGTACCACCGGGCAGCAAAGATCCCCAGGGACTGTATATCTTCTATGACAATGGCAGGCTCATGCGTCCTGTGCAACAAATTGAGTCTAATGCCCGTGACAAGGATCTTCCGTTTCCGTTGGTTTTTGTTGGGGCATGGGAGCAGACTTGGCTTGACATCGCCAGCGTCCCTTCTGATCTACTTGATGGTGTCACACAACTGAACCGTAAATACAAATATATGGAGCAAAACGGCAGCAACATCCTCAGTTTGACGTCCACAACGATTCCTTTTTTTGAGCACAACTGCTCTCCGCGAAACCTCTTCCAGTGTGGGTTGTCTAAGCAGTCCGCTGGTACGCAATTGCAGGCACTGGCGTGGCGCAAGGAAGCGAAACTGTTCCGCATGTATTGCCCACAGCGCTACATCAGCCGCACACTTCCAATGGACTATTACGGCCTGGATGATGTGAATTTGGGTGTCAATGCCGTTGTTGCGATCCTGGCTTACACGGGATACGACCTGGACGATGCGGTGATCCTAAACAGCACCGCCTCGCAGTTTGGCATGCTTACAGCGGGCATCACAGTGGCCAAGGTCATAACGGCCAGTGGAAAGGGTGACAAGGACGATGTGTTTGTCTTCCAGAACCTGCTGTCGAACGGGCAACCTTTCACACCAGAGTTAGATGCCCATGGACTTCCACAAAGGCGTGCGGCTCCAGGTACAACAGAGTTCTTGTCGTTTGACTCGGATCACAAGTACCCTGCCCTGCGCGACAACAGCGCAGTGTACTGCTGTGCCAAGCGGTACGAGCGTGTCGACCCGCTCACCAACAAGAAAGTCTACGAGTACGCGAGGCACCACGTGACTAAGTGGCGACACTTTGATAAGGGAGAAAACGCCTGGGTCCACAGCGTTGTTCCACTTACATATGACGGACCAGACCCAACAAACGTGCTTGTCGTGTTTCGCATTCCACGACCGCCAGCGGTTGGCGATAAATTCTCGTCGCGTCACGGACAGAAGGGAACTCTGCCACTGCACATTCGCGCCCACGACTTACCATTCACCACGCGCAATGGCATCACGCCTGATGTCATCATCAACCCGCATGCCTTTCCCTCCCGCATGACGGTTGGCATGGTCCTGGAGATGATGGGCGCAAAGGTGGGAGCTATCCAAGGTCGTTTCTGCGACCACAGTGCTTGGAGTGTAGTGGGCGAGGAGCCGCGCTTTGCGGAAATGATCGGGGACGCGCTCCATAGTGCCGGCTACAACCGATACGGTCGCGAGACGCTTATTGACGGCATCAGCGGAGAGGAGATGGAGGCCGATGTTTTTATGGGCATCTCGGGCTATCAGCGGTTGCGGCACATGGTAAATGACAAGTGGCAGGCGCGCGCACGCACCGACGCACACACGCACCGCGCAGTGACGAAGACGGGGCAACCGGTGAAGGGTCGCAAGCGCCATGGCGGTGTGCGGGTGGGCGAGATGGAGCGTGACGGTTTGCTCTCGCACGGCATTGCCGAGGTGGTGCTGGATCGTCTGTTACACGTCTCGGACAAAACGAAGGCGCTTATATGCGTGGAGTGCGGCTCGCTGCTGTCTATTTACGAGCGGCATGCGACGGAGTACGCGACATGGAAAACGTGTAAGTTCTGCGGCGCGGGGTCGCAGGAAGCGACCGACACGATTGCCTTCGTGGAGATCCCGCAGGTGCTGCGGCTATGGGCTGCGGAGCTCACCAGCATCGGCATTCGAGTCGTACTTAAGACAAGTGATGGTACGTCGTAAGGAGGAGGACATGAACAAAAGCAAACATCAGAAGCAAGGAAAGATGGAGAGAAGCACCACAGCGAGAATCGTGGAGAAGACAAGGAGAACAAGTGGTTTCGTAACGTTTAATACCAAATCATGCGCTAACAAATGGTTGTATGTGCGTGTGCGTGCACTGTTTAAGAGTTATTCCTTTTTTCCCTTGCTGCAAGAACGCGCGTGCGTGCTTAAGAGAAGGTATAGGCCTGGCATCAGTGTTTCCACTAAAGCCTTCTCGTGTGTTTTTTTTTCTCCCCTTTTGTTTGCCGTTCGTTTTTTGTCGTGCTCTTGTAATAGAAACAGAACAGGGGCACAATATGCTCAGCCGGCGGCGTGTTGGGGTGGCTCCCACCACAAGCGCGACAGTGGAGGAGCGCCTGGCTGTGTTTGCACCGCACCACCTGCCGGCGCTCCTCACGGGACTGGACGTGGATGATGTGGCGGAGATGGGACCGGAGGACTTCGTGTTACTCGAGCGCCCCGCACGCCAGAAGGTGAAGTCAATACAGGCGATCCTCATCCTATGCTTAAACATCGGTAGCGACCCACCAGACTATCCCCGAATTGAGCCCTGCGCACGCCTAGAGTGCTGGACAGATCCCCATGTGGCACAGATGGCCTACTTTGCGGCAGAGGGCGCCAGCGAGTCCATCGCCGAGACGTTGGAGCAGCAGTACCGCTCTCAGCTGCGGGAGACAAACTTCAAAAGAGCGGTTGAGGTGCATTTAGATGAAGCTAAGCAAATGATGATGGCAACCCGACGGAAGGCCGACAAGGGAAAAGTCTTGCTGCACTACAATGGTCATGGTATGCCATGCGCTACTTCTATTGGCGAGATTTGGCTGTTCGACAAGAACAGAACACATTACGTGCCACTGAATATAGCCGAAATAGCGCAGCTTCTGGATTCTCCGACACTCTACGTCCTGGACTGCAACTCTGCTGGCTCAGTTTTGGAGTACTGGTGCGCGGAGCGTCTTCACGAAACACGCCCGCATGACATGCTAATATGCGCGTGCAGTGCTGGGTGCTTCCTTCCATTGAACCCGCAACTCCCTGCCGATGTGCTGACATCGTGCCTCACTACCCCGCTGCAGATGGCCCTGGAATGGTATGTGAGTTACTCCCATCGCAAACATCTGCTACCGCACGTAACGGCTGATATGGTGCGCAGAATTCCAGGTGACCTTACGGACCGAAACTCACCACTAGGTGAACTAAGTTGGATTCTTGTCGCTGTGACAGACACTGTTGCGTGGTGCACATCTCCTCCTCCTCAGTTCTATCAGCTGTTTCGGCAGGACACCATGACAAAAGCACTATTCCGGAACTTTTTACTAGCTGATCGCTTGTTGCGGGAGGTGGGATGCGTACCCGTGTCGTACCCCCCTATTTCAGAAGACGCCCATTTGCACCATGCCTGGGACCTCTGGGACTACACACTAGAGAACGTTATATGCCAGTTACCCGATCTTCTCACACCGGAACTCACGGTGAACCCTAACTACACGTATCAATCGTCCTCATTTTTTATGGATCAGTTGATGGCATTTGAGGTGTGGGTGGAATCGGGAGACCTGAGCGCGCAACCGGAAGAGCTACCAAGTGTCCTTTTGGCTCTCACCCAAATATCGTACCGTGTTCCTGCACTGACACTCTTGGTGAAGTATTTGGACTCGGGCGCAATTGCGGGAAAGCGCGCAATCCTGTGTGGTGTTCTGCCGTACGCCAGCAAGCTCCTCATACAGACTCCAGAGGTTTTTTTGATTGTGAGTGTGTTGTGGATGCAGGTTGTACGGGCTGATATGGCACAGGGCACTTCGGAGCTGCATAAGTCGCAGCTAGACAAATATTTCATACGTCTTTTACAGTTGGATGAGGAAAGTACAAAAGTGGAACCGGTAGAAGATGGTAGAACAGTGGCGTCATACGTTAGTGGCAGCGCCAATCTCCGCACCAATGGTTCGGCGACATTGCCTGCTGATGCTAATGCCAACGGAAGTGGAGGTGGAAATACGCCTACTGCAGAGACACATTACTACCTCATGAAGGAGGTGGATCTCCACAGATGCAAAGCCATGGCATGCTATGTGCTGTGCCAACTGCTGAAGCGCGGTGGCGAATATCAATGTGTGGCGTGCTGGAACAGCCAGTTGTTCAATGCGGCCTTTTCGTGCCTGTCGTCACCCAATGCGGAGGTACGGTCGTGGTCCTGCTTGGTACTTGCCCAACTTTTTTTGGGTCTGCGACATGCGAAGAGTTTTGCTTCGCAGGAATGTACCACACGCTTGGATCTCTTCACACGTTTATTGCAAGACAAATCACCGATTGTGCGAAGTTCATGCGTGACACTATTGGCCTCTTTAGTCGGTTTTCGTGTTGATAAGCTCCCTGTGGAACAGCAAATTCGTCGAGTGCAGATGGAGAAGTCACTTCTAATAAGACTGCGGAATTTCATTTTTGATGCTAGTATGAGTGTTAGGGAGGAGTTGATTTTCTTCGCATGCCAGGTGTTGTTTCACTACGAAGGTGTTGAGTCTTCGCTACGCTCCGCCACCGCCAGTGGCAATCGATTTATGGAATATATACAATATGTTGGGAGGAACTCCCCAGAGTGGGCTGTAGATGAGCCAGGAGTGCATATTAAGTCAGAACTGAGTGCGTCACGTCCCACTGTGAATAGTCGCTTTGACCATGCTGTGGTGTTTACGTTTGGCTTCCTGCCACGTGACGACCCTGCCCCGCCCCCAACGGAACTAGATTTGGCTGCCATTGACCCGGGGGTGCTGGTGGTGCTGGAAGGTATGGTGCATGACGCATCAGTGATGCTATTTACACTCTATCAAACCTGTGATACGGGCAAGGTGGCGGCGGCGTTGAATGCATTGGCGAACCGAAGTCCACCGCAGACCCATCGCTTTGCAAATGAGGCACTTCGTAGCATGTCGCGGGTCGTGTCAACAGATTCATCATATTTCACTTCTGAAGCTGATCGTGCGCGGTCAACACGAAATGCTGACAGTATGCGGCAACTGGTCCTCGACATGCAAGATCGGAAATTAGAGCCGTCGTTATTGCCCAGCCACAAAACCAGGGGGTTGTGTACAGACATTGGTGTTGCAGCCGCAGAGGGCGGAGGAGGTGGAGCTGCTGTCTCGACTACCACACGTCACCAGGTGTTACCAAGTTTGCTCCCTGGCGATCAAGTCATATGCGCGGCGTTACGCGCCTTGGAACCGGCAGTGATTGTAGCCACAAAGAACCAACGCATCTATCACACCTCCTACGAAACTTACAGCGCCCAAGCACAAGTTCACAGCTTCTCAGTCCGCCTCGCTGCCCCTCTGCATGATGTTTTGGTGATCAATGACTTGTCGGAGCAGGCAGGGCTGCTGCTTGTGAACAAACGGGGAGGTTTCAGCCTTGTGAAGGATTGCTGGGAGGAGACACAAGGGGTGCCAACCGAGGTCGCTACATTCTCGGCGTGCCCGCCAAAACAAACATTGGATATCAAGTCTGTCTATCGGTCGTACAACGCGAACCTTTTTTACGGGGGTTCAATTGGAAGCAGTGGTGGCACTGAGATTCATTTGCTTTCTCTAGATGAGGAACAGGTCATTCAACGACTGGAGGTCTCTGGTGATCCTGTTCTTACTTCATTGGCGGCGCATACAACAGGCCGTGCAGTGTTTGCGGGGTGCTCGGATGGTGTAGTTCGGTACTACGATGACCGCCAGAAGCAGGGATTCCTTGGTGCCGTGGGAATGTTGCGGCGTAAGCAGAATGCGTCCATGTCTTCGTTCTCCTCCACACCCCCAACCTCTTCCTCTTCTTTGGATGCCATTGTTGGCGCTGGCCCTGTGGAGGCCGGCTCAGCTGCCTTAACAATTGCTACAGCCAGTCGCAGTGCTGTACGTCTCTATGACTCTCGCAAGATCTCTGAGCCCACGTTAGAGGTTGATGTGGCCACGCTCTGCGGCGGTCACGGAGGGTGGTCTCACGTAACAAGATCAACTTTCATTACGGCATTTGCTACTGGCGTGCATACTGGCTTGCTTGGGGCACTCCTCTCGGACGGTAGCTATATTGCTCTTAATGTTCGAGGGCGACCGTTGTTGAGCAAAACAATCAGCGTCTCAAATGCCCAGGGAGCCCTCTTGCCCGGGAGCTGCGTGGTTCATCCCTTACGGCCGCTCATGACAGTGGGAGGTGAGATCATGCTTATGCAGTGATGGTGGTGATAATGATGAGCCTTGGGATGAAGAAAAGGAAGCTGTGACTGCTTCACAAACGATCAACTAAATATATATATATATATATACTTTTTGAGTAATATGCTTGCGGCTTCCACTGAGCAAAATGGGCGGAGGTATGTGCGTGCGTGTGCGTGTGGGGGGACACTATAGTGGAAGACCCCATTGACCCTTTCCATTTCTGTTTTGCTTGTCAAAGATTTTAGAAATGGACTATGTTGTTCTCAGTTCGGCGGAGCTTATCTTGTGGAGGGAGAAGGCCGCACCCACTATACGCAAGGTGACGGATCTACTCCTACGCGGCGGTGCCGTTGGTTATCTGGATATGGAACGCTTGCTTCATAAGGGTTGCGAAGAGGACTCCAAAATAAGCAATGTCGAACGACGCATCAATCCCGTTGCATTCAAGGCGATTGTGAGCAAATGTGGGGTGCTGCTTGCATCAGAGGAGTACAAGAACCTTCGAACGGCGTACTCCGATGAGGGTGGTTTTCTTGTTGACGAGTTTCTGGACCTTGTGCGCCCATCAAGAATACTTGGCACCCGTGAATTGAACATTCTACAGGGTATGTGCGCCGATGTTAGCAGTGATTTCCCCAGTATCAGCCTCGATGACTTGCTGAGGACACTGGGGGAGGCGCTAGCAATCGGTCATGCCGCACCAACACCGATCTTTGCTTCTGCTCTGATGGAGTCGCAGATGGTGTTTACACTAGCGCGTTACCCCAAAGGACTTGTACCGCCGCAGGACGTGGTGAACTTCTTCGCTGCTGTTTTGCTCAACAACCCCGGTGCAGGCGATCCACTTCTTGAGCGTCTTGTGNCTGTGAAGCTGGCATCTGCGGCGCCCCCGTGCGATGCCGCAAAGACGTTTTTTCTTGTGCCCGGCTCGTGCTCCTCGCAGCGTTGGGCGCGTGGCTACGAGTACTACACAGACCGCGACAACCGAGATGAGTGGATCCGCGGGCGGGAGGAAGCGCCGGCGCGGCCCATGTACCTGCGCCACTTGCCCGGCTACCAGGGCCACCTGCCGACGTTTTGCTCCAAGTTTGGCCGCTCCTTCCACCCGATAGAGGAGTCGATGCCAGAGCTCTCGCAGCCGAAGCGGCAGTTCGCCCCTGCTCCCGCCGATTGCTACGGCCCCGGTGTGGAGTTGCGGGGAAGCCGACTGGGTCGGCACAACTTCAAGCTTGCCTAGTGAGGCGTCCGCATTGCAAACCAGGGGCGAGTGAAAAAAGAAAAGAAAAGAAGAGGTGATTGACATGGATATGTACAATGATGGTCGTTTCCGGCATGTAGTGACACACAATGGTTACGCGCCTGCGCCATAATGATGAAAGAGTGGATACAAAGTGAGTTTGTAACCTTTGTGTCGCTAAATGGGTCTTATTTCTTTTGTTTTTGTTTTCGCCGTCGTAGAAACTGACACTAGTGATACATAGCGAAGAAGAATCACCACAAGTAAACATGTACAGGTCACTTCGCGTCAAGGCGTGCCGCATTCACTGTGCTTCTTTAGCCTTGTGCATGCCACGTCGGGGTGCCGCTTCCGCCACGTGGTTCGGTGGTACGAGCAGCTCGGACTCCCTCATGGGCACCGTGAAGGGGCTCGTGGGGTGCCTCTGCGGCATTGGCCTCGTCAACTTGTGGTGCAGGGGCAATCTGTTGGGGCAGGTGGAGACGGAAAGCGATGTGTGCATTCCTCTGGCAACGCTACGCGCACACGTCCCGGAGCCAACAAACGACGGCTTTGTTGATGGCTCGAGTGATTCTGAGCGGCGCTGATGTTTCGCCGGGGGACGAAGAATGGGTGAATGGACAGAGAAAGAGAGAGAGAGAGAGAGAGGAGGGGGAAGTGTCAGCAGCACCAGGGCGGTGTAGGGAGAGTTATTGCTTTTTTTCTTCAGTTTCCTCCAAGCTGACACTGGGTCGCGGCACGGGAGACTGCCGTGTGGACATTGCATGCGCAGCACCTATTCTTCTTCTTTTTTTTACCCGTTTGAATCTATGACGCGTTTAGGCTGGCTCGCTCCTGTATGCTCTGTCTTCCTCCTCTTTCCCCTCCCTGTGCCAAAGAATAGCTTCATTTTTGAAGAACGATTAATGTCGGCCAAGGCCCCTCCAAAAACACTCCATCAGGTTCGCAACGTGGCGTACATCTTTGCCGCATGGGCAGGCCTCCAGAAGGGCTTCGCGGAAAAGTCGGCCAACGATAAACTGTGGGTTGAACACCAACGCCATGTACGCCAGCAGAACGCTGAAAAGCAGCTTGCGGCACACGCTTTGCAGGAGGCGAATCGTGGTGCGGAGACAGAAGGAAGCATTCCTGAGATCGTTCCCAAGGAGCTTCACGAGCTTGTTAAGGCATTTGAGAAGTAGTTGAGGTGGTGAGTTCCTGTGTGAGGGTGCTTCTGCAGGTGCCGGTAGGAATAGGCTTGATTTAGGTAGCAGATCGGATCCCTGAAAGGGGAGAGGAGTGTGAAAACCGAGGTGGTGCGCTGCTTCATTTCTCTCACGTGGTTTCGCAGTTGTCGCTGTGCCTCTGCTTGCGTGTGGCCCCTCTTTGTTTACATGCTCATGAGTGTTGTTTCTTTTCGTTTTTACTATTCCTGCCAACATATCTCTCTGTAGATAGGTTATTAACGTGCCTGTGGGCCTTCCTGAAGGTAATTAGGATAGAACAATTGGGGAGCATCCTACAGGTGTCACATTCTCTTCTTGGTTACTGGCAGCCTCCGTGTGTGTGCTCTTTCTATACCCGAGCACAGCGGATAAGGCGCTCTGGCGTCACGGGACGTGCACAACTGCGATGACAGCCCTATCGCTTTCCCTGTTTCTCCCCGACTCGCACGCTGGAGAGTTCAGGCCCACCGACACGTGCAATGCGGAGGAGCTCGAGGAGGCCGCACTTAACGCCCGGCACTGCCGCGCTTTTTTGCTCTCCCTCGAGTTTCACCTCCTGCGGCGGTGGCGGCGCTACAGCCATCAGATCGGCAGCAGTGCCCCCACGCGGCAGCACGTCCGTGCGGATTTGGTGCAGCAGTACTTCCCCGGGCTCCCCGTGGAGGCTAAGCGGCACGCTTCTCCTAATGAGTCAAATAAGCCAACTTTTGTGGGGAGTGGAGCGTCGGGCCAGCTGCGTGATTTTATTTACCGACTTCTCTGTCACTCTCGCTGCAGCATCGAGTGCTACCCGCTGGCGCTCGCTCTCAGTGATGTGTTTTTCATCACCCTCCGGGAAAAAAGGTTGCTGGCGATGGAGTACGAGGCGGCCGTAAATCACCTGCCGTGCGTCTTCGCGGTGCTGCTGCTCCTCGTCGCGAAATGCCGTGAGGACCGTATTCGCAGCAACCGCTACTTCAGCCAGCTTGTTGAGCTTCCCTTGGGTGAGTGGAATGCCCTGGAGCGGCTTGTTTTCCGCGTGCTGCAGTACGATGTGCGCGTGCCGGTCAGCGAGTATATAGCCTATGAAAAGGTCCTTCTCGAGGATATGGCTCAGCGGGAGGATGAAATCAATGCGTCGTACCTGTGCCGCCATCCTTGTCCTATGGGCTACGGCACTTCGTGGGTTTATCGCAAAGACGCAGTGATAGGGGTGGAGGACTCCTCGGACTACACAGAAGGAGCAACGCAAGAGAACAGCAGCTTCAATTCTTGTGGCGCTACCGCCACCCCCCCATTTCTGTACGCACCCACTCCTACTGAGGATTCACCAACGGTGGCAACAGCAACAGCAACGGCAACAGCAGTGTCAGCGGCTGTGCGGGTTTCCGCGGCTGGTGCCGTTTGCTCACGCGACCGCTCTTCCTGCGTAGGCCTTGTGCGGGTGTGCGGAGGAGCCAAGAAGGGGCACGGGATTTGGTGAATAATGGCGGAGGCTGTCCCCTCCTCCTCCTCCTCCTCCTCCTCTCCCCTACCAAAGGATAAAATACAAACACACAGAAGGAAAGGGCAAAAGTACTTTAGGGAGGGTTGTCCCGACTTTCACCCTTCACTTTTTCCCCTTTCGCTTCGCTCTGTGAGGAGCGCACGCAGCACCACCAGGCTCTCCTCACCGGTGTGCGAAGGACGGTGAGCGGGAGTTGTATTGCTTCGCGCTTTACAACTAGCGGAGGTAGCAGCAGCAGCAACTCTTTATTTTCCGCATTTTTCTTTTCTGATTCCTCTCTTCTGCTAAAACGGGACCTTTCTCTTTTTTTCCCTTTGGTGTTTTTTTTTTTTTCGTTTTGCGCACTCCATGTCCTGCTCTTAGATACAGCAAGCAGGCCTGTGGAGGAGCTCGGTTGGCTTCTCCCCCCCCGGGGGGTGGCAGCAAAGAAGCTATATGTATGTATATAAATATATATATATATACCTTGTTATATGTCTCTGTCTTTTCTTCGTTCTTTAGTTCTCGTGTTTGGCCGCATGGTTCATTTTCATTGATTTTTGTTTTTGTTTTTCTTGCTTGCCTTCGCTGGCACCAAGACCAGCGAAGGGATTTGACTGTCTCTTTTTCTTACATCCTTGTTGTTGATGTCTTCGCTTCATCAAGGCATGTCGTCTCAGTGTGTTTGTTTGTTTGTTGCTTTTTTTATTATTATTGTTTGCTACAATCTGGTTTTTGTGTGTGTGTGTGTGCGTGTGTTTCACTGTGTGCACCCCTGGCGGCTGCGCGTCGTATTGTGGTGTGGTCGTTTGCACCCCGTCAGGCTCTCCCCTTCTTGGTGCATCCACGTATCGCCTGGGCATCTATGTGTGGTTGCCTCTCCCTCTCGGCGCGCGTGTGCTTGTGTGATTTGCTTGTTTTTATCCAGCGCTCGGGAGTGCGAGGAAACGTGTGGGTGCATGTGGAGGGGAAAATAAAGCGCAGCAGGGCGTGCAACGCGGATGGCAACATCAGATGGGGTGGTGCAACGAGGAATCGTGAAGAAGCGCAACGGTAACGGCATAAGTCGGAGGCGCTGTGATGAGCAGCGAAAACGAAGAGGCTGAACGTCATCTTGTAGAACGCCAGCTGGTCGCGCCAGTACGCTGCGCGGGGCGCGCGTGTGTGTGTAGTGTGGGGTTGGGCGAGAAAAATAACGGGGCGGAGTGACGGGGGCCCGCGGGATCGCTCCGCTGTGGCGTTGCTGATAAGGAACAGCACTACGCGTGTTGACGCGGCGAGCAGCAAGTGGTTAATGACGAAGCTTGACATGGGCCTCATGCACTCGCATTGACGCTGAATAAGTTCCACGCAGTGGTCTCACACCTCCACTCTCTTGTTGCCTTTCTTTGTGGACCCCACCGGTACTCCTCCGTGCTGGCGCGGCAGCAAAGGCATACAGTTGCCGAAGCGGGCAGGACAATGATTCACGGAGGTGATGAAGAAGTGGCGTATACATATATATATATGTCTATGTGCGGTGATGTATGTGCCGGCCGTTTCGTGTTCATTGACACTCAAATGTCCCGTGACGCCCTAACTTCAACCATTTTTACCACGTGTACACCGGCTGCACAACAAAACAAGAAAAATAAATTCATTGGTGCTGCCGAAGGAACGCTGGACCAAGTGACGCCGTTTTATTGTCCTTTTCCGTGTTTGTTATGTTTGTTTCTATTCGTGTGTGCGTTGAGTACATTTTCTCTCCTCTCTGCAAGAAGAAAGACGGCGCTGCCTGTTGAAGCAGTTGCTATTGATTCATGCGTACTGACACGCGTTGTGCACGACGTGCTAGTTGACTTCTGTGAGAGTTGGAGTTGAGATGAAGCCGTTGCGTCCTGGAGAGCCGGCACGCACACGCACACCCACACACACAAATCTTTTCATTACTATTTTGAAACAAGGTCATGAGGAGCAGAAGGAGGAGGAAGGATGCCCTCGGGCCACACTCATTAGACCTGTTTTGTTTTGTTGGTTTGCTGTTCCTTTCTTTTCAGGTATGTAAGTATTTGGGCTGGTTTGTTTCGTTTGTAGCCGATGTACGTACCTCCTTGACAGTCGTTCCCTCCCGTGGAACCAAATATTTGTGTGTGTCTGTGTGGGCACGACTGTTGAAAGCGGTAAGGTGGTCATGGTACTTCCCTTTTTATCTTGGCCGGTTTCTCCGCAGCTCTGCCCGTGAATGTGGAATGCATGCCGTTGCTGTGTGAGGAAGCCGTCGCGCGGTGGGTGCTGTGCGCGCATGTAGCTACACGACACCTACCTGCGCGATGGGAAGGCGGCTACGGGCGGAGGGGCGTAAGCGGAGTAAATGAGATGCATGTGTCCCTCTTTGAGAACGTGTGGTCTCTATAAATAAACAAAAGTAATGCAGTACACACGCACGTCGAGCGCGACGAACTGAATTCGAATTGAAATACCCAACTAACTCTTGTTTTTACGTTCTCGCTTTTTCTGCCTTTTTTTTCTTTCTTTTGCGCCTGGGACATGGAGACTGGAGGGGCGCGGCTGAGCCAACTCGGTCATACACTGATACATTGTATACTATAGCGAGGGAGCCCGAAGGGAAGTTCGGTGTTCTCCAATGCGCCGCTCACTGGACAGGGCCGTGCTGCGGTGTGTGTGGCGCGTCGCCGTTGGCGTGCAGCTGCGCACCATCATCCCCGGGCAGATCCCAACAGACGCCGCCTCGGGCGACCCTGCTGCTGGCACGCCCGGGTGGGAGCTGCGGCGCGGGCATCATCTCCAGAGCAGTGTTGGTCTGCACACGCCTTTCCCCACTGCCTGTGGTCGGACGTTTAATCCGCAGCTGTACTACGAGGTCTTGCAGGCCTGCTGCGATCAGCAGTGGCTTCAGGCAATTCAGCGGGAGATGCGAAATGATACGGAGTGGGTGGAGTCACTTCGTCGTGAGGGCGGTGTTGCGAAGGCTATGAACGCTCTCACAGAGTCAACGTACCACGATGATGAGTTCATGATGAAGCTCCAGGATACCCTGAAAACCGACAAGAAGATGTCGCTGACTCTCTGCGCCATACAAGAGAGCTACGAGCGAATTCGAAACAAACGGGACATGCACGAGACTCATGTCGCGGCGGATGGTGGACCTGATCCGTATGCGACCATGCGCCAGAAACAACAGGGTCAGTTTGGCAACAAGCTTACTTCGTTTTAGGACACTGACTTGCCGTCGTGCGTGTATTACTTTCCAACTCCCCTTTCCCCCTCCATTTTGGCTTCATCGTTTTTTGGCTGGCGCAACGAGGAGACTAACAAGGGGCCGTTGACACACCCAATGCCGTTTCCATCCATTTATTTTCCACTTATTCCTGCAGCAGGGCTGGCTAGGTTTGCAGGTGCCTTAACATGAAGATAGTACCGCCGAACTTCGGTTACGTTGAAGAACGCATTTTTCGCTGTGGTGCACCAGAGCCGTGCCACTACAGCTTCTTGGCCTCCCTGAAGCTTCGTACCTGTGTTCTGCTGACTGACAGCCACGACGAGGCATTTGTGCGCTGGCTTCGCGAAACGGGTGTTCGAACGGTGTGCCCGCTTTACGATGACTCCAAACCGGGTAATCTCGGCGATGAAATGGGTGGCGTCAGCTACCACAGCGGGAGTATGACACTTTCAGAACCTGTTGTTGTGGACATTCTGCATGTGCTTCTCGATCCCATCAACTACCCCTTATTGCTGACGTGCAGCATGGGTCGGTACCGCACCGGCATCGTCTGTGGGTGCCTGCGCAAGCTACAGGGGTGGAATTTGGTGTCAATATTGGAGGAGTATAGGCGGTATGCACAAGAGAAGAGCCGCTCGGATAACGAGGAGTTCATTGAGCTCTTTGACAAGGACCTGGTGAGCCTTGAGCTCAAGGGCGGGCGCAAGCCAACGATCCTCTACGATGTGTGAAGGCGGTATTGGGCCGGAGGGCACACCGTTGTCGTGTGATGTCTTGAGATCATTTTTGATGCTGATGTCTTCTTTGTATTTGGCTGCTCTGTGGAATGTGCATGGATGCTGTTGCCTTTTTTCCCCGTTCTCTTTTTCTCCCTTTTGTCCTCGTCGTGGAACTCTCTTTCGACGTGAAAAAAGGGAGAGAGAGAGAGAGAGAGATAGATAGAGAAAGGGAAAGAGAGAGAGAGAGAGGCGTTGCCGCCGCGGACAACTCATAGCATACTGGCATAAGATGAGCGTTGCGACCCCGCGAGTGCTCACGCAGCGTTCTCTGCAGCGCGGTCTTCACAGCTGCTGCTGCACCAGTGGCGGCAGTGCCGTGTTCGCACCGGTGCGGCTGGGCGTGCGCAGGGCTGCCTCTGTCGCCGTTTCGGCTTCCGTCGGTCCCGCGCGCCACACCACGCTCACCACGCAGTCCCGTGCGCAGTTTGCGCAGGTCCCAGGGAAACGCGACCAGGAGGCCTTCTTGTCACAGTACGACCCGCTCGACGTGCTTGCGCTTGACGAGTCCTGCACTGTGGAAGAGATCGACGCAGCATTCAAGCGGCTGAGCGCAAAGTACGGACCGAATGGGCCGTGTCCCGACCCGCAGATGGTGGACCGCGTGTTCAGGGCGCACGAGATCCTCAAGGACCCGGGCTCGCCGTACTACCTGCGTGCACACACCTCTGAGGTTGATCGCCAGCGCTTGCAGTTTCAGATGCTCCCCCGATCAAAGCGTCAGTTAATCCAGCTGCAGGTCGGGCTGCTGATGATTCTTCTTGTTGGATTAGCAATGCTCGTAATATCGTTGATGATGCGTCCTGTGAAGCGTTCTTTGCGTGCGGCCACGCGTTGAGGAACGGCTGGGGGATGAATAAGTCAGCAGTGAGTGGGGAGCGGGTGAAGGAGAAAGGGAGCAAGAGTAGTTATGTCTCAAGCAGGGCAAATTTAGACTCTACCAGCGTCTGTACTTTCTGCGAGGATTAAGTATTTCCTTTCATGCCGTTTTTTCATGCATTCTAAAATTCTTTTTTTTTATTTTGTTTTTTCTCGTGTTCTTCTTCTTCTTCCGGTTTTGACTTGCTGCCTCTCACTGGGGCCACTGGTTATAAGTGAGTATGCCTGCTGGCAATGCGGCTGGGCCGGCGACGAGTGGTGCGCCGCCTCATCTGTCGCGCAGCCGCTCCAGCGGTCGATCAGAGGACACCGGCGGGAGCCAGACGCTGACAGTTGCCCCCAGCACTATCGCCACCACTGCCGTACCAGTGGTTGCTGGTGGTGGTGGTGGTGGGGGCGCAGCTCCTGGGGCTCCTGCAAAAGGTAGCTACAAGACCTCCGCGGTGCGGGCTCGCCAGGCAGAGCGTCACAAGCAAGAGGCACTCACTGCCGCGACGAGTCCGGCGATGGCAGGACGTCGGGCGGCTGTGTGGGTTGAGCAGTGGGACCACGGCTCTCGCGCTGTCCGGCTTCGTATCCTGGAGGCTTTTCTTCTTCTTCATTCCTCCGGCAACATCAGCAGGATTGAAGAGGACTTGGGCGACTCCTCCATGTTATTTTTCATGCGTATTACGGCATGGTTGCGGCTGACGTGTAGGCTGAGTTATCCGCTGCGCCCTCTACTCGCTGCCATATCACTGTTTGTGCGTGGCGTGCGCTACCTAACGTGTCTCATGGAAGTTGGGGCCGCGCAGACCCTTATTGATACATTGGCGACGTGCCCGCTCTCCGTAAAGGACCGCAGCGAGATTGCGCTTCTCCTGTTGTACATGGCGAACGCGGGTCGGGTGTATCGAGAGATGCTCTGCGACGATGATGGTGTGTTGTTGCTGCTGCGGGCGATGCAACGCGAGGAGAACAACGACGTTCTTGACTTCTTCGCGGCTCTCTTTCTTGTTCTTGGTGAAGGCAACAACCAGGGTGTGTCATCCTCCGTTCAGGCCGGCCTGGTGGAGATGATTCTTTCACCGGAGACTGCGACGGAGGCGGCACTCCAGGCTGCGCGCACGTTGCGCACGTTTCAGTCGTCGCGGTATAAGGCGTACACCGATGCGATTACGCGGGACGTACTGGAGGATGACGGCTCAATGCCGGTTGTTACGATGGGGAAGAACGGCACACTGGAGAGCGTCAAGCGGCTGCTGGACGCGTTCTACTCCCTGCTGTTCCACGAGGACCTGCGGCTGCGCGTGGAGGGAACGGAGCTGCTTACGATGGTGGCGAGGAACGTTCAGCTCACTGGCCCCATCCTGACGCGCTGCTTCGACGTGGTGGACGAGGACCGCCTCGCCATAGAGGCAGAGGACAACCTTAGCACCGCCATGACAATCCGGCGCCACCAGTTGTCATTCGGCTGCACTGCCGTCAACATCATCCTTATTGATTCTAACTGCGAGGAGCGGCAGCGGTTGACGCTGGAAATCATTGCGCGGCGGAGCGCGCACTTCACTCTGCTCAAGTACCTGCGGCTGCTAGACAACGGGTACGTCACCTCCGTGCTTGACTGCTGCCGCGCACTGCAGCTTCTGTGCCGCGGGGCCCTTCTGCAGGAGCGAACCCCGGAGGGGGACAGCGCCACTGCGGTCGTGTCGCTGGAAAAGGTCGCCAACCACATCCGCGATGTGGTCGGGAGTACACTGTACAATGTGCTGCTGTATGAGGAACTCACAGAAGGCGAAGCCGCGTCGATTGTTCGCGCTGTCACGTCGTCGGAGTTGCATATGTAAACAAGTCACCAGCAGTGACGCCATCGCCCCACCTTTGTTGCGTCACTGCCGGTGACCCGCTGCTTTCCCCCCCACACATCATCCGTTCGTTTTCTCTCCGGTGCGGCCTGCAGGCCCGCAACAGAAAAAAAATTGCGGACGAAAGATGAAACCAACAAAAAGAACAAAAAAAAAACATTATGCAAATGAGTTGCTGATGCCCCGCGGCGTTGCTTCACTGTGTTTATATATAAATCTGTATGTTTGTTTGTGTCTATTTTCTCTCTCACTCTATCCGTTTATCCACCGGCGAAGAGATTTGAAATCTGCGCAAGCAAACGTTAGGGTAAACGAATACCCATAACGAAGAGAAAAAAAGAAAGAAAAAGAAGACAAAAAGATACTTTTTTTTGTTGTTTCCCGCTTTATTAAGGAGAGAAATTCGACGATATGTCCACTGCGCGTGCTATAGGTAGTACGATCACCCTTATCACCAACAGCCAGATCCGCTACGAGGGCACGCTTGGCCACATTGATGCCGCAAAGAACACCGTGAGCCTCTCCAATGTTCGTGTATTCGGTACCGAGGGCCGCGCAAAGGAGCCAGGCCAGGTCGAGGTTCCTGCCAATGACCAGCTCTTCGAGCAGATCGTGTTCCGCGGCTCTGACATCAAGGAGCTGACGGTGTTCGAGGGGGGCCATAACGCCATGATGGACCCTGCCGTGGTTACCGCGTTCCCTGCGCGGAGCAATACGACGAAGACTGCCACCACGCCGCAGCGCTTTGCCCCATCATCTGGCAACGCAAATCACCAGCAGCAGCAACATCAGCAGCAGCAGCATCATCACCAGCAGCAGCGCTACGGCGGCAGTGGCGTTAGCTACCGCCGTGGAGGCCACAACGGCGGGGGCCGCGGCGGCTACCGTGGCACGCGCCGTGTCGACTCGCACACGGGCCAAGACTTCCG